GATGCAGTAGTTGTTGCCGCTGCCATTATCCTTGTAGTGTTTCCGTACAACAGTGGCAACAGCACCTGGCCGGCGGCATGGGAAGGTTCCCGGTTCCCATATCCCATCACCCATCTCCCCTCGCCCACCTGCCTACCCGCCCACCTCCATCCTGCGAAAGTCCATCCAAGTGAAAGGCTATTGAAAGAAGAGTCCTTGGAAGGAGAGGGTGGGGTCCTCCATGCTGGAGGACGACGGTTTGGCCAACACTTGGCCAGATATCTCCAGCAGGCTGCACTGCATCCGAGCATCAGTGTGGAAGTACATTCTAAAATCTTAGAAATTTATATTAAAACTGGGTTTGTAGAAATTATAGACGTTAGTTCTTCGTAAAGCCATAAAACACTAGTTTTTACGAATTTTCTGGTTCTATTTTAAATAAGAAATACAAAAATACACGAAAAATTCTTTGCTGTGCAAGCGAATTTTGTGTGCTTTGTAAGCAGAAATGTGCGAACTTCCGAGATGCACTGGAATATGTGGGTGGCGACGCCGGAAAGAGGGGGCGTGGCAGGGTCGTCGGAAAGTTGGAAAGGTGTCGTCTGAATGCGGAGAAAGGGGTAGGGGGCAGGTGGCAGGGGCAGAACTTTTAAACGCCGTCGCACAATGGCAAACATTTCGCTGCATAAGTTACTCCCTGAATTTTGTTCCTCCCATTCACTATGTGTATTCCAGTGTCGCTCCTTCAAGTTTTGCGCCATCGTCCAGGGTCTTTTGTCTGTCCTTATACAATGCAAGTTAATTCAGCACCAACTCGGGCAACAGCTGCTCCTCCGGCCACGCCCCCTCTCCTTGTGGCGCCCCCCAACAACTTGTTGGCGTTGTTTCCTGTCAATCAGCACCATGCCCCCGCTTCTGCAACTCCCCGCGCCATTTAAGCTGCATTGTTTGTGGCAAGAACAGAACAGAACGGAACAGGACAGGACGGGACTACGAAGACGGGGAGAGGGGAAATACAAAACGAAAACATAATCTAAATTTTGTAATTGTCCGAGAAAGGACCTCGTTGCCCCGTGCGGCAGATGATCACAAAGAGTGGGAGAGATGGATGAATTCAGTTGGATTTGTTGCCAGTCACTCAATCTCATTCCGCTCACTTCTGACTCCCCCAGCTGTCCTCAACTGCAAAGTCCTGCTCCTCTTGCTCCTTTTGTAATCAGCTGAAGAGCCATCTTCTGACATGTCTAATACAATATCTTCCACTCAATTTGACGCTGTTCTGTCATCCAATCCAATTTTCATTCCCTTTATTATAGCTGAATAACTCCCTAAAGCACTTGCTTTAAAAGTTAGTAAAAGTTAAGGAAATCAAAAAAAAAGTGTTTTAAAAACTTTTCAAAATCTGATATTTTCAAACGGGGTTTTCGCCATAACTTGGCCAAAAAAGAAGGCACAGCTAAAATGAAGACTGTTTTGTGCTGCTAATAAACATAGCTAACTATGCCTATCACTACTTTTATGATTTTCGGAAAAACAAATTTTAACAATTCTTCACATTTTTTATAAGGGGTACCATCATCAAAATTTGCGAAAAATGGCAAAAAAATAGAATTTACTTTTTTGAATACAGGTCGATAGGAAATTTTGTTACGAATTCAACGGGGTATGACATTCTAGTTTTGGACCACTATTTTAATTGCTATCGCAAAAATACTGATAATTTTTATCGACAAAAAACAAAAAAAAATTTTTTTTTTAAATCTGATATTTTCAAACGGGGTTTTCTTGATAACTTTGCCAAAAAATGAGGCACAGCTAAAATGAAGACAGTTTTGTGCTGCTAATAAACATAGCTAACTATGGCTATCACTACTTTTATGATTTTCGGAAAAACAAAATTTAACAAATTTTTGCATTTTTTTTAAGGGGTACCCCCATCAAAATTTGCGAAAAATGGCAAAAAAATAGAATTTACTTTTTTGAATACACGTCGATTGGAAATTTTGTTACGAATTCAACGATATATGACATTCTAGGTTTGGACAACTATTTTTATTGCTATCGCAAAAAAACCGATTATTTTTATCAAAAAATAATCATAAAAAAAATGTTGTCAAAAATCGGATATTTTCAAACTGGGTTTTCGCCATAGCTTAGCCAAAAAAGAAGGCACAACTAAAATGAAGACAGTTTTGTGCTGCTAATAAACATGGCTAACTATGCCTATCACTACTTTTATGATTTTCGAAAAAATAAATTTTAACAAAATTTCGCATTTTCGATAAGGGGTACCCCCATCAAAATTTGCGAAAAATGGCAAAAAATTAGAATTTACTTTTTTGAATACACGTCGGTGGGAAATTTTGTTACGAATTCAACGGGGTATGACATTCTAGGTTTGGACAACTATTTTTATTGCTATCGCAAAAAAACGGATTATTTTTATCAAAAAATAATCATAAAAAAAATGTTGTCAAAAATCGGATATTTTCAAACTGGGTTTTCGCCATAACTTAGCCAAAAAAGAAGGCACAGTTAAAATGAAGACAGTTTTGTGCTGCTAATAAACATAGCTAACTATGCCTATCCCTACTTTTATGATTTTCGAAAAAATAAATTTTAACAAAATTTCGCATTTTCGATAAGGGGTACCCCCATCAAAATTTGCGAAAAATGGCAAAAAATTAGAATTTACTTTTTTGAATACACGTCGGTGGGAAATTTTGTTACGAATTCAACGGGGTATGACATTCTAGGTTTGGACAACTATTTTTATTGCTATCGCAAAAAAACGGATTATTTTTATCAAAAAATAATCATAAAAAAAATGTTGTCAAAAATCGGATATTTTCAAACTGGGTTTTCGCCATAACTTAGCCAAAAGAGAAGGCACAACTAAAATGAAGACAGTTTTGTGCTGCTAATAAACATGGCTAACTATGCCTATCACTACTTTTATGATTTTCGAAAAAATAAATTTTAACAAAATTTCGCATTTTCGATAAGGGGTACCCCCATCAAAATTTGCGAAAAATGGCAAAAAATTAGAATTTACTTTTTTGAATACACGTCGGTGGGAAATTTTGTTACGAATTCAACGGGGTATGACATTCTAGGTTTGGACAACTATTTTTATTGCTATCGCAAAAAAACGGATTATTTTTATCAAAAAATAATCATAAAAAAAATGTTGTCAAAAATCGGATATTTTCAAACTGGGTTTTCGCCATAACTTAGCCAAAAGAGAAGGCACAACTAAAATGAAGACAGTTTTGTGCTGCTAATAAACATGGCTAACTATGCCTATCACTACTTTTATGATTTTCGAAAAAATAAATTTTAACAAAATTTCGCATTTTCGATAAGGGGTACCCCCATCAAAATTTGCGAAAAATGGCAAAAAATTAGAATTTCCATTTTTGAATACACGTCGGTGGGAAATTTTGTTACGAATTCAACGGGGTATGACATTCTAGGTTTGGACAACTATTTTTATTGCTATCGCAAAAAAACGGATTATTTTTATCAAAAAATAATCATAAAAAAAATGTTGTCAAAAATCGGATATTTTCAAACTGGGTTTTCGCCATAACTTAGCCAAAAAAGAAGGCACAGTTAAAATGAAGACAGTTTTGTGCTGCTAATAAACATAGCTAACTATGCCTATCACTACTTTTATAATTTTCGGAAAAACAAAATTTAACAAATTTTTGCATTTTTTATAAGGGGTACCCCCATCAAAATACAAAATACAAAAAAATACAATTTTTGGGCTATTCAATGGATCCCCAGAGATGATCCAAGTTTGTGGACTCTCTGTTCGATGCAGTGAACGAATTGCTTGTATTTTCCGCCCCTTTTGCGTTGGCAATTTGGCCAGCTGAAACTGAAACTGGAATTGGGAAATTGGGTCAGGACATGGACCAGCCGGCACTGGGGCAACTGGGTCAGTGAAATAAATAATGAATATCGTTGCCAGCAGCAGGGCAAACAATAACAATAGCAACAACAATAACAATAACAATAACAATGGGCAGAAACAATTCAACTCTCGAGTTGCAACTTGCAACACGCTCGCTAAGCGGCTGCATTAAAAGGCCACTCAAACACACAGCGAGGCGCCAAAAAGTGGGTGGCGAAAATATAAAAACAATGCGCCAGGCCTGCCTCGCAAACCAACCCACCCTCCTATTCCCTATTTTTTCTCTCGGTGTAGGCTCACAAAATCGAAATGTTGGAAAAAACAAAATGGAAAGAGCGGGAGAAGGGGCGCAAATTTTGTAGTTGGCAGGCAAAAAGCTGGCAACAAATGATGAAATGCTAAAATGCATATAGCGGCAAGGGACTGGGCATGTTTTTTTTGCAGGGGGTGGTGGGTGTTGGGTGGCTGGGGGGCTGGGAAAGGACGGGGAAAGGACTCCTGAAGTGAGCGCTTGATTACACTGAAATGCACTCAAAAGTGGCGAACGCAGCGATGCCGCCGGCAAAAGCAATCGAATCGAAAAGCAACAACAGCCATACGTATACGTATGTACTCGTACACATATACAAATGCACATACGTTGGACCGCCGCCCCCGCGAATATGCCACGCCCACTCGCACACATCGAAAGCCCAAGGGCTGAGCCAAAAAACTCCACAAATTACATTTAAGTGACGCAAAAGTTAAGTGAAACTCATTGCGAAAATCGCGGATAGATGCAATGTGGCACGACTGCCTGTGAAGGAGGTGGCGCCTGGTGGGCCGAAAAGGGGGAGGGGGTACGGTGTGGCAAGTGGGCGATGGTGCAACACGACTAAGTGCTCTGGCTTGCCGAATGTAGGCACTTGAACTATTTTTGTTCTCTCGCCCACTTACATACGCATCGCCAGTTGTTTATGGCTTTGGGATGTTTCTGAAGCAACCAATGTGGGCTTTATGTGCGCCTCTTTAAGTGCAAGGAACACGATTTATATACCCCTTCTAGCGAGTAATATGCAGCTATGATATATACATAATCAACATGCTTAGAAAATCCCAATTGTGTAAAAAAACTATATTTAAACCTATTCTAGGATCGAAATGAATAGACTGCGTACTGTTAGTTTGTGTCCACAGCGAGCAAGTCACTATGATCCAGTCCGAGCTTTGGGGAGGATTCCCCTCCGCCTTTGGCAACTTTGCCGCTCTGCTGTACCTGCGCATCGGACATCTCCTGCGATCCCGCGGATGACCGGATTGGTGGCTGCCAGAGAACCTCAGCCGGATACACGATAGCCCGATGCTTGCCGCCGTGGAGAATCACCTCGAAGTGGTGGTACTCGGCCATCACCACGTGCGGCTTGCCGGCCTCGAGAAAGCTCCTGATGGGAGCCAGGGTTATGCCCTGGCAGTTGATATACACTACTGAGATATCCAGATGCAAAGCCGCCTCATAAACGTTGGCCATTTGGCTGCCCCAAATGGCGGCACTTACAAATGGCACACGTTCGGTGGCCAAAAGGCGGGGTAATTCGGCGGCAGTGCGGAAAGTGTGCAAAGTCACCACCGAACTGGGTCGCGATCCTCCAAAGAAACTGTGATCGAATTCGCATACCATAATCGGCGAGGCATTGGACATTTTGAATCGGAAATGAATGTCGTCCGGCGTCAGCATGCAGACCACTTCCGCCTTGAGGCAATCAATCATTTTCACTGCCCTCAAATGGCTGGCGTGGGTGGCCGACTGGTGGTACATCGGTTCCATGGAGCTGCGCACTTGATCACAAAACGAATTCCTCATCGTCTCGTGGACAAACACACTGACCACCAGGCCAGGAGCGAAGGGTTGCTTCAGGGTTCGCAGTAGCGGCTGTATCGCCGTATTCACATCGGCATTCTGGCAGATGACCAGCAGTGTGGGATCCTTCCAGAACAGATCGCTTTCGTCACCGGGAAAATCCGGCTGGCGCCATGTGTACGGAGTGTGTTTCGGCATCCTAAAACACTAGAAGTTTTTGCCACAGAAATGTATATTACTTTTGAATTTGGGCTAAGTGTAGTTCCTTTCGGATTGAAATTTAACTTGTTTTGATTTCAGCTAAGCGCACACAGTCATTCTATCCTAAGGCTACTATTTAAATCAGGGTGGTCCAAAATTGTCACTGAACATGCTAAAATCACATGCCCGTGGTAAGCTAATAACATTTCGCATAGCTACTGTGTTTAGTTTAGCACTTGATTAAAGCAACATCTACTGTTTAGCTATTTAGCTTAACTAGATGATTACGCAATTGAAGTAAGCCATAGCTTTAGAGCCATGTTAAATGCCGTGCGTTATGTCCTGTCCTGAAAAATCGAATTGATAACTCAATACGCTCGGACGTCGTACAGAATCCGGAATGTATATCTTTTTCTGCGTCCTGCTTGGATATTAGTTTCCCGGCAAGGAAATGAACGTTGACTGCTGTCCTGTGCCATCTACATCCATCCATCTCCGTCACTTAACAACGGAGACAGAAGCAGAAATACAGACAGAGAAACGGGGCAATGGAAGTATGAAATGGAAGTATTCTCTGCTTCTAGGTGGATTCACTTGTGCTGTAGCCTCATTTGCCACATGGTTTCGTTTCGACTCCCTCGAGAGTGGTATACTCCGTATTTCCCAGTGGGCTATTGCAGTTTTACGCGAGCAACACGTGGCTTTTCCTGCACTAATGATGCATTCTCACTTGCAACACTGCCACATTGCAGCAGCAGCATCCTCTTGTCTATTATCCGGCGCCCCAGTTTACTTGAGTAGAATGCAATCTCCCTGCTCAGAGCTCTGAGCTCTTAGCTTTCTGCATCCAAGCTCCCTGCCTGCCACATTTCCGCACTTATGAGAGCAAACAACCAACCACGTCCCCATGCCATCCAGGCATTCAACCATGTGCCATGTGCCATGTGCCATGTGCCATATGCCATGTGCCATATGCCAACTGCCTCAGCGTGTGCAGCTTCCATTCCTCAACTCAATTCAAATCCCCAACTACCAGTGACAAAATCCTGCCCAACCTAACCGGATTTATTGTGCATTTTGGCATAACGAAAATGTTATTAAACACTATTTGGAGCTCAGTTAATATACTTGCACTAAAAGTATATTACTTTCCGAAAGAAACTACCCACTATTGCTACGATTGGGGAAAGGTTAGGTAAATGCTCATAAGACGAGAGTTAGTTGAAGTAAAAGAAAATGTCCACAAATATTAATGGTCCTCAAAATGCAGTTTGCATGGAAACTGGCTTGCACTAAGTAAGAATGTTGATTTTTCACGGTAGGAGGCTGAACTTCAGTGGGGCGGAATTTCAGCCGTAAGAAATCCTCTTTTGGGTCCACCCAATGGATATTGTCCTGCATTTTACCTTCTTTCATTTTGCTTCTCACCCCTTTTTTTTTTTTTGGACCTTATTTCGGAACGACCAACCAAATGGCACTTTGTGTGGCAATGTTGTGAGAGACGCTCGATAAACACGTTGCGCAAAGAAATCGTTGCATAAATTAAGGCTTAATATCCTGACCTCATCGATGTGACTGCGACTGTGCCTGTGCCTGAGCCAACGTTGATATCGGGTCAATACACAAAGGAGCCAAGGCGTAGCCACGCCCACTCAGCGATTACTTTTAGCCGTCAGCAGATTGCAATTTTAAGCTGCCACCGAGCATGAAGGAAAAGGAACAAGTTCGAATCCAAATCCAGAATCGTTCAATTTTTCAACTCCGACAAATGAATATTTAAGGCCACAAAAGTGTGAGGAAGCCAGTGGTCAGTGCCAAGTGAAAAGTGCCAAGATTTACGAGCTGTTCTCTCCCTGCGATTCTTTTGCTTTTCTTTTGCCAAAGTCAGACAACCTTGGGAAATTGACTTTTGCCGTTGGCCTGGATTTTACTGCGTACATTTCCAACAGAAATATGCCCCCAAGTCAGAACTAGGAAAAATTCAATAGAAAACAAAATGATGAAGGAAAAAAAACGAGAAATTTGGATTGCCATCAAAGATTAAGGAGGCGAAAAATCACTTCAACAAATATAATGACAAACAAATTGACAAATATATACTTACACTTTTTAAATCGGGCAAACGCTTTCCATTATTCTTTGTATATCCGCTTTGTTTTCCCCAAATAGCGTATTTCATAAACTATTTAACATAGTTGAAATTGAATAGAAATTGTTTGGTCTCGTCAAATTTGTAAGCGCTTCTGGGATTTCACTTCATTTGAACACGTATTTCTACTATTCATTTCCAAGTTACAATTGCAATTGTTGCTGCTGGTTTCTTTACGGCCCTTTTAAGTCATTTTTCAGATCGGCGAAATCAATGTGTAGCTTTTATCCTTACTGCACAACTAGCAAGTAGGAGGGCCAAATCAATAACCAATACAACACTTGGCAAGGCCAAGTTAGCTTAACCGTTGCCCTGCGAACAGTTGCCGTTGCCAAGCTGAAAATGGACAGGTGGTGCTGGAGGGGATTCCCCAGGGGGCCATAAATTAACAGCCCGACGGCGAGAGCGAAAGAAAAGCCAGGAAAAATGCCGGCAAAAATCTCAATTCTCCCCGTCACTGCTGGCCGCAGCAAAGAAAAGCCGAAAAAAAGCCAAACCAAACTGAATTAAAATTTTCTGCATGAGCCCGCAGGAAAGTGAACAACAGTCGCTTTTATAAGTGCTGGCAAAAAAAAAAAAAAAATAACAAATGAAACACAAGATGACACAAAAATGTTATCAAATATCTGCTTCCGGTGAAATGGCGATGACAACAAGTGTCGCAGCCAATTTGCAGCAGAAAAATAAGGGGAAAAAAAAGAAAAACCAGAGGACACGACGAAGGGCAGCACTGTAAGAGATTGGGCCGGACCGGGAAGGACCAAGCAAATTGTTTATTGTTTCATAATTGAGAGCGAAGAGAAGCCAGGACCTCACCTAATACGCCCACTATCCGCTTACTCACCTCCCGTTTTCCACTTTCCACCCATTTTCCGCCCCATTTTTCATGTCGGAGACATCGTATCCGATTGCCGGCGGCTGTCCATGCAGCTCCTCCAGTTTTTCCATCAGCACTCCTTTTTAGCCCATAATGCCACAGATGGCAGTGAGCTTAGGTGTCTAGCGGGTATTTCACTGAACGCTTATGAAACTAGATAAAAGCCAGTAACTGCTTGAGTTTACTTTCCGAACATTGTAACTAGCTTTTTCAACTTTTTGCTTTTTTCGGCCACATTGTTAATTGCCCTAAATCACATAAATTCCAACCGCTGCTTGAAGCGTTTTATCATGACCATTTTAAATGATTTTCAAGAGCTCAGGTGGCTGCCCATCAATTGCTGTCTAAGCAGCTGTTCAGATCCTGCGAGCAGGTATAAAAAAAAAAAAACTTCATTAAGCATTGCTCAACAATAACATTCATTCTCATTCAGACACACACACACGCACGCAGTCCGTAGATTTATAAGCATTTTACACCTGTGGCGCCTTTTTATGCCTGCCACCCCTATCCCCCCCCTTCCACCCACTGCTCACTACCGCCCACTACCACCCACTACCACCCACCATGCATCAAATGGTTGAATGAAACTGCTGAGCTTCCCGTTTGGGCACGTGTAGGAGTATGTGTGTGCGTGCAAACAAGCTGAAAATTCATTAAACTGAAGCAATAAATTCTTTTAATTGTTTTCTTTGCCAAGCGCCCATTCCCCCGCCCTGCTATTTATTTAATTCATTTCCCTTCTCCCTTTCCTCGCTTGCTTATTTGTTCTTTATTTTCCTTAGCAACATTTCCATTTGGCAACGGCAAACATTGTTTGGCCATCCCGTTTTCCCAAGCTCGCCAGCATTTTAATGTTTTACGTGATATGTTTGGCATGTCTTTGACGTGGTCTCCTCCATTTCGCCCCACCTGAGTCCTGTCATTAATTCCTTTCAATTTACCAAAAGGGGGGAAAAAATATGTATGAGAGGCGCCCGCAACTGGAGAATCTAACGAGTGGGGGCGGCATGCCTCATTAGCAGGTACAGTCGCGGCCCGAAAAGTTTGACAGTTGCATCATTAATACAATACTTGTTCGAAGTAGATGGGCTGGTGGGGTGGTCAGGGGTGTAATGAACTGGCAGAGTTGTCGGGAACTTAACTAATGGATTTCTTATTTGCTCTGCTCTCATTTCACTTACAGGTGTCTCCGGCATCGACTTGTTTCATGTTGTAACTCGAGGACTTTCGGTAAGTACTACCACCCTTGCCGCACCGAAACATGGTCAGCAAATGACAAACAGTTCCAAATAACAGAGGTGAACTGAAAAGTATTTGGGTTTCTCTTCGAATTGTTGCGTTCGAGGAGCCGCACAAACTTCGACCAGAGGAAGGAACAACAGCGGCAGGATAACGGCGAGATTGTCCTGCAACTGCAAGTTTCGATTTAGTTTTGAGGTCAGAGATGGACACTGGAATGGGGGGATAGAATGCACTGGCATTAAGGTTACAGTTCTGGCTGAGCCACACAAATCTTCCTTGCGCTTCGTCCTGCAAGAAAGATAAGCGGACGGACAATGTTTTCCGATAAAGCGGACCAAGTTGTGCAAGTCCCACTGAAGGGGTATTAAAGCTGGCACTTGGAGCAGTCAGGTGGGAGACTTAAGACCACTCGGATTGAGGAACGGCGTTGGGCAAGTGTTCTCGTGCTGGCTAATGGGAAGACACAGGCTAATGGGAAGACTTTAAATGCAATTTGAAAATTGTGGAATGCGTTCAAATGTTACAGTACAACAGTACCTGCGAAGAATCCATCAGTTTATTGAGCACCAGCCAATTATGGCTTCATAAATTAGATTTCCATCGATTTCCCTCTTACGGAAAGCCAGTTAAGATAAAGTTACATTATAGCCCTACTTTGTGCACTTAAGATAATCCCGATAGTTGACAGTTTAGAAACTTGCACACACAAGTCATTTTGGGCTCAAATTATCCCACTTATGTGCATTACATCACACAACAGCCCACTTTCGTGTGACCTTTTGGCATTTTCGTCTCTGTTCGGACAAATTAAAGTGCATTCAGTGTCGTGTAGCAGGTGCAAAGGAATTAGCCAGAATGCCTTAATCAGTCTGAATCAGTTGCCATGGCCTGACAGGCATCAGTGCCGCCCCTTCGCCGAGTAAGGAGTCCTGAGTGCCCACTCCTATGTCCTGTAACTGGAGTCCAGGACACTGGACATATGCTGGCCGTCTTATGCTGCTGTAGCTGTAAAAAAAGAAGGGAAAATACAGATCGGAATGGTGCTTACGCTGCAGTGGAGAGAGCAGCACCTGGCCGGGCTTAAGTCCATGCCAATATATTAAACTTATTGTGCCCGGCAGGTAAACCTGCCCCTGCTCCATGGCTGCCCCTCGCCTTGCCCCTCGAGTGTTGCCCGGTGGCCGTTGTGCACTTCCGGCCGCCGTCCTTGCGGCAACGTTTGACATTGCGCAAAGCCAGTGGAGTCCTTCTGTGCCGGGCACATCCTGCATGCTCCAGCATCCAGCCTGCACCTCCGACTCGCCTCCCCTCCATCTCCGCGACTCCATCTCCGGCTTGCTCGCTGTTCATTTCAGGAAATGCATTTCGTCAGCGTTAAATGAAAACGAAATTGCCAATTTCAATGGGGATGAGGAGGACGTGAAGCTTGGCGGATTCCGGAGGTTGAGCTGGGAGGAAGTTAAGGTAGCTGGAGTAACGTGGATCCAACTCACATCTGCGATATTCAGGCTCACTCAGCCTTGCACTGATTTGCTCTGATTTGTTGCAAGGACTCACGCCGACTAGTGTGATTTGCGCGAACGCCCAGTAAGGGAAATATTCGGAAAAGCCTGGTGAAAATGTGAGTGTCAGATAGGAAGTTAGGACAGAGTAGAGGCCCTCGGTTGAAAGGACAGCAGAAACCAGTGGGCAAAAGATCAACCTACTGGTGACCCATTTTCCCACAAGTCCAACCATACAAGTCATTACTAGGATTTCCCTCTAGAAAGCTGAGAAAATCAAACTTTAAGAATGCTTGCTGTGCAATCAAACTAATATAACAATATGCAATCAAACAGAAAACTCAGCAACCATTCGTTAGGCCATCAAATTCGGAAATAACCCATAGCACTTGGCAAGTATAATGGAGCCACGCCCTTTCTCACGAGGAGAAGGCCAACTGCAGTGAAACCTTAGCCCAGTTATGAGAGCAACTGCGTAAATCAACTCGAGCTCAAGCAAATGAAAGCCAAACAAAGAAGAAAGCGCCGCTTGCCTTTACTTAACCGCCCGAGGCATTTGGTTAGTTGCCCCACCAGTTTTTCCACCCACTTCGCCACATCGCCGCTTCAATTGGCTCTTTTTTTTTTTTTGCTTTTGGCAGTACAAACAAAAACGGTGCAAAATTATGTCAACGGCTTCGCTGTCATGGTCGCTGTTCTGTAAGTTGCCCCACCTCCACTTCCTGGCCGTACTTTCCATTTTCATCTTCTGCCGGATAACTTCTCAGCTGATACTCCTTAGTCGAATAAAATCCAAGCCCTCCCAACTAAAAGTTGCGCCAACCTGAAGCACCCTAGAGTCCCCTGGAACTCCCAAGACCCCACAGAAAACCACGTGAAACCACAGCCTTCGCGCGATGCGCTCCTCGTTACCTATCAAAACCAAAATTGAATACAAAAATCTCATCAAAAATCGATTAGAGCTGGCAACGAGCAGGGGGGGAGTTGATTGGAGGGGTGGCTTGGAGCATAGCCATGGATCAGTACCTGGAGGACTGAAGTGCCACCCAGAAGAGTATGTATTTTTTCATATGGCTACAAGCCGCGCGCACCGAGAATCGTGTTAATAATCGAGCTCCACTGCCACAAGTTGTGCGAAGCCACTTGTGCACCTGCACCTGGTTTCTGGTTCCAGGTTCCTGGGTCCTGGTTTCTCGGTCCTGGTTTCTGGCTCCTTGTTTCTTGCTCCTTGAAAGCAGCGGCAGCAAGTGGATTGAATAAATAACACGGGCGAATGCAATTTGCGAAATTAAAACCGAAAGTAGTAGTGACAACTTTTCACCCACCGCCACCAAACTCCATTCGACCATTGTCAGTCGCCTTATCGGTGGCAGCCATCATTTCTGCGGCCTGGTGAAAACTTTCTCCCGACGACGCCGAACGAGGATGATGATGTGGGCCATGGGGATAGAAGTTCCAGGCTTATTGCGGTCCACAACGAATTGGAAAGCAAAGCGTTCGCTTGTAAAATTAATAAAAAATAGTTTTGAGCAGAGCAAAAAGCCAAAGAGTAGCTGCTGCTTGTCATGGGCAACTTTCTCCCCTTTTTGGGGCCTAGTGAATATGGATGAAAGTGTCCTCAAGTTCCGGCAGCATTTAATGATACCACGGCTGAGAAACCAGCCAGTCCGGGTTGAGTTTTCATCGATCAAAGGACAGCCGAATTTTCTTCCCAAGTTAACCTTAACTTTCCATTAATTTTGTTTAATTCTGCGGTTGTGCTGCTACATTTGTGGTTTTTATGTACTGCATTATAGACTGGCATTGTTCTAACGTGCTATATACATTTGTATATTGTATCTACGATGTGACCTAATATCCCTTTTGCTTTTTTGTTCCCGTGTGCCTGCGCAAATCCCATAAGCAATCGATTTAAATTGAATCAAATTATTAACATTGAAAGCAAATAAAGTTGAAAGTTGAAAGAATAAAGTAAATGAATTTTGATACCCAGTAGCTCTAGAGCACGGGGTATATTCGATTCCCATGGCATATAATTCCATTGTATGCACTTTTTTCTACCATGTTGTATTGATACTTTTGTAAATCAGAGGTTATTTCTTGTCGGCCCATTTATATGTTAGCAATTTAGTTTTTGATTTCGAGCTTAGCTTTGTTTTCTTAATTTAGCTAATTGATTTCGCTCACCCCCTCAGTTTTGTAAACAGAAACTCAGTTCAGTAGAAACTGCAGAGGAGGGGGAATCTAGCTTTTATGAAAACTCCTTCAAGGATTCGTACTCGCATACCGATTCCTCAAGAATGCCCCGAGGATAAAAGCCTGCTTTCACCATAGTAAGCACCCCGTTTGTGGAGTTTTCATATTTGATATTAATATACCCAACCAGTTCCACTCCCGCCGACAATAATAACAAGAACATCCCCTGGATTCCCCGAGATTAGACGTCATCTTGGCCCTGTTATTTGCCGGCCAGTTGGGCTCTACAAACAGCCCACCTTTAATCCTTTTTAACGAAACCCCCAACGATGTTGTATGCGAGACATGTCCTGTATGGTTTGTATGGCATGTGTGTATGGTGTATCCTTTATCCTGCATGCAGTATGCAATGGCCCATCCAGAATTTAGCTATGTACACGAAAGGCGATGGCAAATTGTGTTTTCTCAGTGACATGGAAATCAACTGAAGCGATGTGCGCGATTTACGGGCCGAGGACATTTTGCAGGGCTAAATCAACAGCGGTGGGTTGCTTTCCAATGGGTGGATTTTGGGGAGATTTGGGTAGTTGGGTAGTTGGTTTTTTTTTTCGGTGCTGTTTGCCTCGATAAACTGTTTGCAGCACACATGTGACCACGCCTCCATCATCGAAGGCGCAAGATAGGATCCGAAAAAAGGAAAATACATATATGGAGGAAGATAAAAAAGAAGGAAAAAGCCCAGAGGACGGGCACAACTCAATTAAGCATGCACAATGCACACGGTTTTAAACCGGCTATCTTTTCCTCTTCTGGGAATATTTTCAATGCATCCGATGTACATATGGACATACCCCTAGAAAAACTGAGAACCAAATAATGTACAAAAACTGAAAATATCGCAATGTATACTGCGGCAGACGATTGGACATGGCAAATAAAATTGTTTGGTATTTGAGTCACATAAATTTCCATTGATTTTCCTCGTTTTCCCGCTCTAACTTTTCGTACGTGTCTTTGGGCGACTCTTTAAACCGCTGGCTCACTAAAACAGAACAAACTAGAAGCCACGACGCCATAGGCATTCTGAAAGCCGCTGGGAAAGTTGGAGTGATGGCTAAAAATATGACATTTGCTGTGTATATATATAAAATAGTACATTGTATGCTGTTGCTTGAAAGTGGTAACCTTTTATTAAAGCAGTAATACCACAATTAAATACAAAGTTACGCTGTTGCTCATCGCTTAAACAGCTGAAGGATATGCGATTGTATATTTCTGTGTTATCTTTAT